GGCCCCAAGACTAGGAATGGCGCAGGTCCCAAACTGGGAGTAGCGAACAGCGGGGGAGATGGAAGGGTGAATGTGGCTTGGGGAGTCAAGGCGTGGAGGGCTGCGCTATAGACTTACCCCAAGAGGCCTGAGGATAGGAGTGTAGGCTAGGAGAGTTAGCTGGTGGTGCAGGTCCAGGGACAGAGAGAAGTGAGGGCGGGGCCAGGACCAGAAGCGGTGCTCCTGGGGCCCAAGAAAGGCACTCAGTTGGTCTGGGTGAGAAGGATCAGGAAGCAGTATTGGTTCCCCAGGTGTCTGAGGCCCCAAGACTAGGAATGGCGCAGGTCCCAAACTGGGAGTAGCGAACAGCGGGGGAGATGGAAGGGTGAATGTGGCTTGGGGAGTCAAGGCGTGGAGGGCTGCGCTATAGACTTACCCCAAGAGGCCTGAGTATAGGTGTGCAGGCTAGGAGAGTTAGCCGGTGGTGCAGGTCCCGGGACGCAGAGAGTGTTTGTGTTTTTTAACACCAGGAGGAAAGAACCCTTTGAAAGGCTCTTGTTTAGTGTAATTCACTCACTTAGGACAGAAATCTTAGAATCATCAATGTACACTGCCTGGGTTTGTCAGCATGAAATTCAGTCTAATTACCAAGATGAGCTATTAAAGGACAACGTCTTTAAAGAGTGATGAGGACTTTGCCCTCATGCATCAATCCACTCATTTATCAGCTAGTCATTGGGTTATCTGTACAGTGAATCTATTATCAAGTTAATTTGGTCCTGGACAGAAAAAAAGCACTTTTTAAAAATACTTCACTCCACCAAAAGCTGTGATATATTAGCAACAGAAGATGGTCAAAGGCAGATATTTCTCACTCTAATTCAACATCCAATACCCATGTCTTGAATCTTCACCTCCTAAATATAATTTTGATCCATCCATTTCAACACACAAACACACAGTCACCACCTCTCTTCTACAGGAGCCCTTGAGACTATCCTAAAACTTCTGCCCCTCCTGTAGGAGCCCTTGAGACTATCCTAAAACTTCTGCCCCTCCTGTAAGCACATTCTGGCCTCCTCTGGCTGTCACAGTCCTTTTATGTATAAGTCAAATTCTATCATTTGGTGCTAACTTTATATCATGGTGTCTATATCTACCAACTGGGTCTGCCTACCTCTTTTGCCACCAGCTTTCCAGCAGGGAGTTCCATCTTCAGAGTCCTAGCTAATGGCACCCCCTGTAGGCGCTGCTCTGTGCTGGACGCTGAGTGACCCCTGCAGGCTCCTGCTGAATTGCATTTCCTGGGGAGAAGGAGGGAAGGAGAGGAGGGAAAAGAGGAGAAGGAAAACCAAATCAAATCAGTCTTCAATCTCAACAAGCTGGTTCAACTACCAATTTGTGGAAAATGAAAGAACTGGAAAGCATGTTCATACATAGATTAAATATAATTTAAGAGAAAATCAACTACAAAGTGACAAATTTTTATGACATTTAGGAGACAACTTCAAGTTTGAATACTTACTGAATATTTGCTATTAAAGATGTGACACTAAGTAGAAAAGTCTTATATTTTATTTAATTTATTTAATTTCTAATTTTTAAATTTTTTGGCAGGGGGTCTTTTTGAGACAGCTCCCTGTAGCCCCATCTGGCCTGGAATTCACTATGTAGACCCAGCTGCCCTTGAACTCACAGAGATCCACTTGCCTCTGCCTCCTAAGTGCTGGGATTAAAGGCATGGGCCACCATGCCTGACAAGTCCTATATTTTAAATATATAAACCAAAGATACAGAGATGAAATTATAGGATATCTGGGCTGGTGAGATGGCTCAATAGGTAAAGATGCCTGCCACCAAGCCAGATGATATGAGTTCTATCCCCATGACCCACATGCTGGAAGGAAATAACCAAATTTCACAAGTTGTTCTCAGACTTTAAAACATGTGCACATGCGTGCACACACAGACACACAAAATAAAATGTAATAAAAAGTTTTTGTTTGGGTTTTGGTTTTGGGGTGTTTTGTTTTGTTTTGGTTTGGTTTTTATCTTTTTGAGACAGGGTCTCCCTGTAGCCCCAGTTGGCCTGGCACTTGCTATATACATCAGGCTGGCCTCAATCTCACAGAGATCTGCCTGCCTTTGCCTCCTAAATGCTGGGACTAAAGGCGTGCTCCACCACACCTAGCTTTTTAAAACTTTTTTTTTGTCTTTTTGAGACAGGGTCTCCCTGTAGTCCCAGCTGGCCTGGAACTCACTTATGTAGACCAGGCTGGCCTCGAACTCACAGAGATCCACCTGCCTCTGCCTCCCAAGTGCTGGGATAAAAACATTTTTTTCAAAGAAGAAATTCCATGATATCTGGGAGTTCCTTTAAAATAATACATAATGTGGTGAACAAGTTAGGGATATGGATGAAGTACAGCATGTAAAATAATGGCATATTCAGCCACAAAAAGGTTACACTATGGTAGGGGTGAACTTTAGACACATGCTTAGTGGAATAAGCCTGGCATAAAATGACACACATTATATGATACTGTTCATATAAGGCACCTATAGTTGACAAATCCATAGACAGCAGAGATTAGGTGGAGGTGTAGGGAGCCAGAATTTATGTGTAATGGTTATAGAACTTCTGTTGAGGATGATGAAATATGTTTAGGCAAAATGGACTCAACATTATAGTTCTATTCATGCCTTTTTTTTTTTGGTCTGGGTGTGTGCATGTTTCTGTGGGTGCATTCATGTATGTATGCACATGTGTGCACGTTCACATGCACATGTATGGGCATGAATGTGAAACCAAGGGTCAACTCTGAGTGTCATTCCTCAGGCTCTATCCACCTTGCTGTGGAGGTAGATATGGAGGTAGGAACTGAAGCAAAAAACACAGAGGGGAAATGCTTACTGGCTTGCTCCTCTGTATTCAGTCTTTAGCTTTCTTCTTCTTTTTTGTTTTGTTCTGGTTTCATTTGTGGTATTTTTTGTTTTTAGTTTTTTGAGATAGGGTCTTGCTGAAGCCCCAGCTAGCCTGGAACTCTCTATGTTGACCAGGCAGGCAGCCTTGAATTTACAGAGATCCGCCTGCCTCTACCTCCTGAGTGCTGGGATTAAAGGTGGGCACCACCACAGCTCAACCTGCCTTCTTATACAACTCAGGACCACCTGCCCAAGGGGTGACACCACCCACATTAGGCTGGGCCCTCCCATGTCACTCACCATTAATTCAAAAGCTTACTAAAAAATACACATATAAAATATGTATATGAGTACATATTTGTATAGCTGGAGGCTATATAACAAGAAACACAGTGCCAGACAGGAGAACCTGCCTTTGAGTTATTGGTCAGGGTAGTCCAAGAGAGTCCCAAAATAATACAGGCTATTATAACGGCCCTTGATTTCCTCCCAGAACTTTGGTAAGACCCTATTGCTGAAGACAGGACATACTTTGGATACATGATGTAGAGCACTAGAACTAGAACTGTCCTGGAAGCCTCCTCCCTGAAGACTAGCTCTCATAGTATCAGAGGACACTATGTAAGCTGCTAAGGGAGAAAATCAATCAATAGTCCCACCCCAGCTATAAAGCCTAATAACCACAGCAATGAATGGAATAGCAAACTATCTTTATTGGTGCAGTAGTAGCACTTCTATCTTGGGGGTAATCAACAGCTATCTAACAGAGTGATTAACACATAACTGGCCAAAATGTAGAGAGTAGAGACTTCAGAGCGTGTGTCCCTGGATAGGATTCCTATATTAAATCTCTGACACCCAGGGCTCAGGGACCATTTCTACCTCAGGAGAGGTAGAAAGACTGTAAGAGTCAGGCCTAGTGGATGACCACAAGAAAACAGTTTTCCAAGTGTCTGGGAACTTGCTCATATGAACTTGCAGCAATGGCGACAGCTGAGGAGCTGTTAGCAACTGATCACTGCTGGGTGAGGGAGAGTTGGTCTTCTTTAAGGGTATGACACTAGATAGGCTGACCAGGTTCCAATGGATGAAGTCACACCAAGGGGCATCTGGAGACACAAATTTGACTCAATAGGCCTTAACATATATGATAGAATACATGAAATCTGATGGGATGGCCTATGTGGGGGGTGCAGATAGGGAAGGGGGGGTTAAATATGATTAAGATATATTGTATGAAATGCATAAGAAAGTGCCTCACAGACACACCCACAGGCCAATCTGATAGAGAAAATTCCCCAATCGAGGCTCCCTCTTTCCAGGTGTGTCAACAACTGAAGTGATCCAGCAGTCACAGACTTAGGACAGGCTCAGTGAAAGGTTGTGGCCTCATCACAGGACTAAAAACACTTCCCAAAGCCCTGTGTATTCCCACTGTACCATTCCTGGCTTACTTAGCATAACCAGCCAAAAGCAAGATTTCAGAGTGACTGTTGCAGCACAGGTTTCATTACCTGGACCTGAATATGAAAGGTACCAGCAGCTGAGTCTCCTGATCCCTAATGCCTACAGTATCACCTGTGATTAGCTACTCACAGCCAGCCACAGTCCCCACAGACAGCCATTCTGCTCACAGAGACCAAACTGGGGGAACTATGCCCAATAAAGATTCTGAATGCAGTGAGCAGCCTCAGTGGAGACCTCCAGGCCAACTTGCATGGATGGAGCACATTGTCTCTTGAGGGAAAAATGACATACCACTGCCTAGAATAGGGCATACCAGTCATCCAGGCACTTGAGAGGCAGAGGCAGGAAACAGAGGCTCCCACGTTTGAGAACAGTCTAGGCTACATAGTAAAACCCCATTTAAAATAACTGAGGAAGACCTGCTGAGAGAACAATGATGACACCATCTCACACAGCAAGGCTCCAAGAGGAATTCAAAAGCTATCCTTGTCCCATGCAAATAGACTTTTATCTTGGGGGCAATGAACAGCTACCTAATTGGATTTAAAGCCCACTCAATGGGAGGAAACTCATGTGTGGTACTGTAAACCTCACCAAATACACATAGCTGGAGAGGCCGTAAGTCATAGAGAATACTCCAAGGCTGTCACATCCCTAGACAAATGTAATTTCTTACTGTGTGCAAAATATGTATCCTTAAATTTATAGACAAGTATCCCAGTCACCATCCATCAAAGAAGATTCTTTATCAAGAGATAGATAATTACAGAGTTCCACAACTGGTTACACACAGAGATTGTCTGTGAATTGCCCAAGCATATGTGACACATCTAGGATGCAACCACTACACCTAAGGTTCACGGAACGTAGAACAAGGGATGAAGAGAACACTAATGCATCTTTCAACTCTCATCAGTGAAGCTCCCTCATGCAACAGAGGGCCGGGAACACAAAAGGTCACAAATGGCCAAAACACAGAGAGTAAGAGTGTACAGAGTGTGAGTCCTTGGGCAGGACCCACCCAGAGCTCAGGGTCCATTGCCAAAGAAGGGGCAGAATGATTGTAAGAGCCAGGAGGAGGTGCATGACCATATGGAAATAGTCCTACAGGTGCATGGGACCCTTAAACAAACGTACAGCAACAGTGTCAGCATGCACAAGACCAATGCAAACTTAAGCAGACAAAAACCCAGCACAGAACTGTGGAAATGGACAGCAGGTCTCAATCTTAGTGGAAGAATTATTGGCAGCTTATTACTGGTGGATTTACCTCTTCTATAGGTGCTGATGATTTTCTTTTGGTTGGGCAGAATCCTAGCTGGCACAGGCCTGCTGCAATATCCCCAAAGTGGTGGCAGAAAATCAAGCTCCTCAGAGACCATGCTGAGCCACATCCAGAATGACTCTGAAGCTGACATACTGTCTCTGATCCTGTAGGGTGCAGCCTCCAGATATACCTACACCACAACAGCTCCAAACTCAGTCCTGTATTGTTGGGAGACCTCTGTTATGCAAAAGTCGAAGCCCCTTCACACTGGACAGCTCATGCAGCTCGGGAATGTGCTGCGGGCTCCTTTTCATAGCAAGGTGCTTTCTGGCATCTTTCCTGTCTCTCCCTTTGAAGTGGCCACCACAGATGCCTTGACATAAACATGGCCTTTGGCTCTATGCATACCATGCCTTCCTGTGTGTGATTTTTACAGGTAGACAATAGTCTAGCAGAAACCCACTTCCACATGTAAATAGAATATCTCACAAAGTATCTAAAAGCTTTTACCTACCCCCATGATATATAAATATGCTAGTCTTCTCTTAATAGTCGGAGATTTGGTCCCAGAAAGCTGGATCAGCAGAGAGCTGGACAGCAAGGAGCAGAGATACAATAAAGCTGTAAACACAGACTAAGCCGTGC